CTGGGGAATTCTGGGAGTTGAAGTCCACACATCTTAAAGTTCCCAAGGTTGAAAAACACTGTCTCGAGTATTAAGACTAAGTTAAGGGAAACCCGAATTTCAGATGTGGTACAGGCCCATGCAGAAAGTTATCTTCTGAAAATGGCTTCCAAGTGCAGTTAAACTCTGTGTCAGGTTTACTCTAGAAATAGAAAGTTATTTTGGACATCAAAATGTGTTCCCACCCCTTAATTAGCCATTTTTTCCACAGAAGGAACAGTATGTACTTTCCAACAGGAAACGCAGAGGCAGCTACCATGTGCAAGGCTAGTTTAATGCAGGAATCTAAGGTTTAGTAATGCTTTGTTAAAAGGAGCAGGTGGGGAAAAAAATTCAATTTTTAGAATTTGTTTTATTCGGGTAAAAACGGTTTCCCCAAAGCCCTGAGCTTTACGACATGGTCACCAAAGATGGGGGGGGGGGGAAATCCGACCTGGTTGTTACATTTCCAACAATGTGAGTGAATGAGCATTTTAGCCCTCACTACTGGAGTACAGTAATGGAAAAACATTTTAGACCAGTTTACTCTAATTATAATATTCAGTGTAAATTTAATGTCTGTCTTCCATTGGAATTCCCATTTGGACTTATCAATTACTGTATCTAGCTTCTGCAATAATTTAATCATAACTTTAACTTCCTTAGTTTTGGAATCATTTTACAATTTGTAAATAAGGCTCAGCAAATGCTCTAAATTTTGTGTTATAAGATTTTCAGATTCAGTCAAGTCTCTAAATCAGTGTTTCTTAGTCTTGGGAACTTTAAGATGCACGGACTTCAACTCCCAGAATTCCCCAGCCAATCATGTGGGCTGGGGAATTCTGGGAGTTGAAGTCCCCACCTCTTAACATTCCCAAGGTTGAGAAACACTGTATTCTCCCTTGTTTCTGCTGTTCTTTGAGTACTAGATTGTTTATTTGAAGATACTGAGATGATGCTAAAGAAAAAAATATACAAATGAAGAAGGGTAAAGATGAAAAAGGGGGCAGAAAAGATACAAATGAAGGAAAAAAACAAGGGATTTACAAGTTTCATTGAAATTATTTTTCAATATATCCTTAACTGACTGTAGATAACTAAATAAATCGTTTAGAACAGAAACAAAAAAATACAGTTTAAACAGAATGTAAGTGTCAGGAACAGAAGATGAATCATAAAATGAACCTGTATTTTCCTTGTTGCATCTCAGGGTGTTGACTAGGTGAAGTTGATGATCCTATCATAGAAAAGAGGTTTAGGGACCATATGCTTGCAGAGGAAGAGGGTGGTTTGCCATTGTTCGATAGCTGGATGTCAGAAATACTTGCTGACCGTCTGCAGAGCATTCAGAGATCTGCTAATAGAGCAGCTCTACCTTCTGTCCACCAGTTTTCTCGCTTTCCCCACTCAGCCACGGTAGCCTTTAAAACAGGACGTGGGACAGAAAGCTGATATTCCCACCAAGATTTAGAACTATCTTCTCTAAATGGGCAACATCCAGCTGTGCTTCACTACAGCACCCATCACACCTGAGTAGCAACATCCCAGGGGGCTGGAGATGATGGGGCTTTGGTTCTCACCAAGCTGGACAGCTCTGGGCTGTAGAAAACTATCATAGGCAGAGACTCGACCCACCTAACTAGCCATTGTGCTAAGTGAGAATGGCTACCAAAATTTCCTCTTCAGATGGAGCATTAAAGGTCCCATGTAGGACCAGAAAAAGAACTAGTAGGGCCACCAAAGGTCCCTACATAGGATCACAAAAAAGTCCTACTTAGAGCACCAAAACGTCCTATCAGAAACCCCAAAGATCCTATGTAGGCCCACTGGGGCCATCAAAAAGTCCTATATAGGGCCACCAAAAAGTGCTACCAGAACTACCAAAGGTCCTATGTAGGACACCAAACCCTCTACTGAGACCACCATAAGTCCTATTGGGACCACCAAAGGTCGTATATAGGACCATCAAAAGATCCTACTGAGACCACCAAAGCCCTGATGCTTTCCTTAGATGACTGCATGCAGTCCAGCCCCACAGCTTTCCCTGCCTCTCCTCAACTCCACAGAGAGGGGTCCTCCACGGACCTGGCCTCAGAGTACCCGTGGCTCTGGGAGTCACTGCAGAAGCCCCCACCCGAATGGTATGGAAGCCCACCCCCCGGCCACCGGCTCCCGCTTCCCGCAATATGGCCAGCGGGAACTTTTCCTTCCTGCCGAAGTGGTGGGGGCAGAAACTGCGAAACAGGCACTGTTCCAGAGCAGACTTTTCAGGCAGCGATGCTGATCGAGGGAAAAGCAGCGTAGGAAAGAAATGACAAAAAAGGGGGAGATTCAGGAACCAACATCAGTTGGAGAGGGGGAAGGCAGGCATTACTCATTCTCCCCAATTCCACCACCAACTTTCTCAACCGCTTTGGATGTGTCTGTCCATCGCCGGGTTTGGATTTTGGAGGAGACCCGACCATTCATCCGCCCACCTGCTCTCTCGCGCTGAATACCACCACATGTTCAGCTTCCCACGTTCCTCGGTTTTCAATGAGGGGAGGGAGGGCATTATGAGTGACAGGGAAAGACGGAGGGGCCGTTTCGGCCTGGGTTTTAACTCCTTACGGGCTGCCATGCAGCCCTTCGCTCCGCGGACCACACACTCTTTGCATGCATTTGTTTGGGCTCTGCATCTCAGTTTTCACCACGCAGGACGTATTCACAGCAGGCAAAACGTGAGATCTTTCCTGACGGAGAAGAAAAGACATGTGCTCCAGTTCCAGCAGGGCGGCCAGGACCAGTCTGCAGTGATTTGCTGCAGAAGGCCTCTAAATGTGGAAGCTCTAGTTCAGTGTTGTCCAAACTTGGCCACTTTAAGATGAGTGGACTTCAACTCCCAGAATTCCTCAGCCAG